CGCGCCTGTCCTCGAAACGGCACGGCGAGTCATCTACCCGGGAGCCTCCGCCCCGCGACTCGGGCCCCGGGGCCCCTGAACGGAATAGGCACAACGCCTGTCGCGCTGCCCAAGGTCAAATGCGTTTCAGTATTTGAAGAAATAACAGCATTTGACTCGATTGCGCTGTTAGAATTCGTTAAACCTGTTTAATTGCCTGACAGCGATTAAGGTAAATAATTGTAAAATTTAAAATCATGTTGACATTGGCTTAACCTGATGTCAACTCAAAATAAACATTGAGAATAGAGATGGGACCGGTGCTTTTCGCGTACTCGCTGTCTCAAAAGACTCTGTGAGTTACAAGCATCGCAATAGTCCTCCAAGTCCCAGTAAATATTTTCTCGTGATAAAAAGGAGTTAAATGCACTATTTTTTTATAAGATACAGCTACAAAGTATTGAAATATTACTATATTGCTATAACAGCACATATTTACATGTGTTGTAAACAGTTCAGTTATAATTTATTTGGTATGGGAGGAGACATGAGGCTTAGGTAAAAAAGATATAACTAAACATTAGATAGCTATATATCTAATATTTATATATTAAAATCACTGTCCCTTCAAAACACAGTAAGGGAATGAATTAGAGAATGTTTGTATCAGATTCCTGCACTCTGAATAGGTGTTCAACTGGTACAATGACTATGAAAAAATAAATAATCTTACACAGTACAACAGTTTCTCATTCCTCGTGCAAAGCGTATATTCAATTGTAGTCAGAAGAGTAATTGCCCCCCCTCCCCAATAACACAATAATCCTTCACATTCATCTTTATGTTATAGTTACTCAAAGGAAAGAAGAGAATTTAAGTGAAAGTGCTACAAGTTACCTGCAAAAGACTACTGAGGTAGTCAAAACTCCTAAAATAATGATCTTTGCTAAGGCTCCTTCACCTCAGCCCTAAAGGCCCTTCGCGTGGCTGTGAAGGACCCTTGCGGGGTGTTTGACTGGGCTGCTTCACATCGCACTTCTTTCTTTCTAGTCTCAGGAGTTTAAAAAGCCACAGCTGTGGCACATCAGGGCTTTTGTGTTGTTGCTAAGCGGTTGTTGGTTTCTCCAGCAGAGGATCAGCTGTTCCGCTCTGTGGAAGGCCAGGCTGCCTCTGATGAAGAGGAGGAGAAGTGGGCAGGTGACCGGCAATCCCAGGTGGACCAAATGAAGACAATACTGGCCAAGCTCCCTTGCTGTGGCAGCGGGTACGTTTCTGAGATCAATGCTGGCTGAACACTTTGCAGAGGCCATTTCATGACCTGAAGGCACTATGACTCCAGTAAGAAGCAGGAACACTATGTAGCAAAATCGGCAGGTCCCTTCGCTCATCCTTTGCGGCACAGGGGAAACAACCTGCTGGATATTCCCACCTAATCCTAATCAGCGTCAGCTAGGACACCGATTTGTGATCTATGCCATCGAGCGTTTTGCAGGAAAACTGGCTTTTACAAACGGCTTCATTGTGCGGTTTTAGTAACTTCTTAATTTTTTCTATAGATGTGATGAAAAAACGTGGAAAAAGCTAATGTCTTACTTGGACACCACCAATACTGATGGCTGTGACACAGCCCCTGCGGAGCTCGTGGAGAGAATCACACAGCTAACTGAACAGCTTGAGCTTAAAGGGCACGAAGTGAAGAAACTGGAAACCAATATGGAAGAGGTAACAGGTGCCAAGCTGACTGTGAAAGAGTTGGTTATGCATCTTTGAGTAGCTGCATTTATATCCATACCCATTTATATTTTATTCTGGCCATTCTGCTCTCTGTTGCTGATGTTTCTCCCTGTGCTGTCGGTGCATCAGCTCCAACATCTGATGCTTTCCTGTAACACCTGCATTTCCAGGCTGGTTCCTCCCTGAGCCCCCATTCCTTTGGAGGATGAGATGTACATCAGCCACGATCAGACAGAGGGTCTTCAAATCATACCCTTTATTTAAATAGTTTAAGATGTTCACTGATGCTGTGTTTGGGACTGATACCAGTACAGACCAGAGAGCCAGACATTAACCACAGGGTTACTACAAGCAGCTTTGAGTGGTTCCTCGGCTGTGGATGAAGCACTCCACATGTCCCAAGACACCCAGCTCCTCTGGGAGCACAATGACTTTTGAAGAAATCCCACCAGCTGACTGAGCTGCGGGGCTCACCGCTTTGCAATCCTTCAGAGGAAATCATCCAGTTTACTCTGGCTGGTTCTCAGGCTTAGACCAATGTATTTATAAATTTTAAAAAATTAGTTCTCAGGCTTAGCAGCATGTTCAACTTTCCTTCAGCCGAGGTTATAACCACAGTAGTTAAAAGCCTCAGTGCAGTATCCTAGTAGTCCCATCTGATCTTACCATTGAAATATCGCAAACTTCAGCCATTGATGGGCATAGATTTCAATGCTGGCAATCTTTCTGTGAAAGAAAAATAGAGCACCATATGCATTGCTTTGGTCTGCTTTGTCCTAAGGTTCAGTTAGTGCTTGTTCAGTGGTTTATATCCCTTCTTTAAGAGGAGCGTAAAAATTTCAGTCGTTCTGGAAGGATTGTATAAATCAGTAGACTATTTAAAGTGAGAGTAAAATATTCAACTTCTTCACATGTTGCCATCCTTTGATTTTTATCACTATTTTGTATCAATTTCCCCCTCGACTAAATTGAATTAAAGTTTACTTGTGAGGAAAAACGTTTAAAAACAGAATAAAATCATACTCGTGTCTTACACAATTTGCAGTATTCAATGACAATTTATTCCTGTAGTACTCCTTAGAGCAACACAAAGCCTCCTTCTATACTGCTTAACATCAGCCCACATAAAAAATTAATTTTAATCTCTTACCTATAGGAAGGAACTAGCTTCCTGTAGGTAGTGCCAGTTTTCTCCTTTTTTTCTCTTGAGGTACTCATCTTCTTCTGCAGTATCATATTACCTCCTTTTTAATCTTTGCTGATTTCTATTAGCTCTGTGCACCTTGTTCAGAAGTGTGCTATTATCGATAGATTAATACAAAATCCCAGGACAAAAATGGAATCTGTTGCTCTTGATTTAAAGACAAGCAGGGAGGTGAATAAGACAGTGCCAACTCACTGCGACATGAATTTAAAATCAGTAGGATGAATCATTTTGAGCCTGTTAGAAATTTATATTCTTAAACCTTCTTACTTTTATTTAGCCAGCATTTATTTTGTGTGTGCAGTTACAGGTTGTCAGGGGTTTTTTGATATTACAGAACAGACAGACAAGCAATAAGTAATTGCTTTCAAAAAGGCGACTGTTCCTGTAATCAACACAAAGCAAATTGGAAGACTGAGAAATTCTCTCTCTCATCTAACTTGCAACTAAATATACTGGCTTAATAAATAAACCACCAAGAACACTTTCTCTGATGACCTGACAAAACTACCTTATACGTTGCACTATATTCTTCTATTTGGACCTGCTTAATGCTGAAAATTAGACAAACAATAAGAAAGCTAACAAGTGACGCACTCAGCAGGCAAGTGGAAAGCAACACTCTCAAATAGCAATGAATAATCGCTTCAGTCTGAGACTGCAAAACCAGGGCATAAAAGAGTTCTGAAATTTGTCATGTCTAGAAAGTTCTGCTTTCCAACAACCGAACATTTAAAAACAGTTTCTACTGAAGACAGGGTGATGAAGGTGTCAGGACCTGGGAATAATAGATGGAGAAAACATGAGCGAATTCTAAAAATAAAGTGATAGGCTGCCAAGTGTAGTGTTGCAAAGAAATGCCAATGATTTTCTATAAAAGCTCGCATACAAACTGTCAGCTTAATTAAAAAGACAATTAGTTTATGACCTGCCATACAGGGTCAAATGAAAAGTTCATCCTAATATCACGCGCCTGATGGCAAGCAGCAGTTGCTTAGAGAAAAGCAATGAGAAACAGTACAGAGGATTTTCCTCTTGGTATTACTCACCTGATTCCCAATACACAAGGGACAGACACATCTCGAACTGGATGTTGCACGGAGCATCATGTTTAATGGCTAGTATTGGAGCTATTTACCATGAATTTACCTTTTCTTTCTTTAAACCTAGTGATGCTTTTGCTATCTCCACATACTAGATAGAAAGGAACAGGTTTTGAGGATTTGGGTTTGTTAGTTTTAAATCTGCAGCCTGATCATCACTGTCACCTTGGTTTTGTGCTTGGGAATCAGCAAATGACCTTCCCCTCATAATTTTACAGACTTTTAGCACCAGAAATATTGTCTTACTCATAGCAATTCCTAGTCTCCCTCAGCTCCTTGGTATAGAAACCATTGCTTACTTCTGTTATTCTGTTTTAGTCTTCCATGTACTTTTCAAGCTCTGTTACCCTTTTTGAATAAGAAGAACTGAAAATGTGCTTAGTATTCAAATGCAAGCCCTCCGTGGCATAATCATAGTTTCTGTTTTGTCCCTAGTTCCTTTCCTGATCGCCCCTAGCCTGTATCGTTCTGATCTCTGCTGACCACTGAGCTATTTTCAGGAGATTGCAGCTCTTCTGTATCTCCTTCTTGAGTGGCAGTCATCACCACTGCATACGTATGACATTGTATACGTTTCCTACATGCCTTACTTTGCATTATTGACACTGAATTTCATCTGAGCTTTTATTGGCTGTAATTCTTCACAGGCAGCTTTAATTTTGATTACCCCCCAAAATTGTATTGAGAGCAAACAAACACTTTGACGTTCACCTGTTTTAAAAATTATTTATTAATACACCGAACAGGTCAGCTCTTGGTGATGAATCTTATCAAAAGTTTTTTGCAGATTCAAAATTCACTCTATCAACTGAATTAGCATTATTCATATATATTCATAGACCCTTTCAAAGAAATCTAATTGATTCTTCACTGTGTTCATCTATGTGTTCACCAATTCCCTTCCCCATTACAGTTCCTATCAATTTGCCTGACAGAATTACCGATACTTTTGAGGTGATTTGCTGTTCCTCAGATCATCTCTGTAGCCTCTCTTAAAAACTGGTGCTACATTTGCCACCCTCCAGTCCTTTGGGGGTGAACTGATTTAAAAGTATTCCTGCACAACACGCTTCGGCACTTCATTCTGCCATTCTGTTACTGTTTTCTCCCCATTTTGAAAATTGTTTCTCAGGTTCACTGCTTGTAAAAATGATGCTAATATAACAGTCTCCTTAACTTTCATAGAAAATACAATAGAATTATTTTATCTTACATTCCTTAAGGGATTCTTGCATATTAATTATTTGTTGTCCTAGATTTATTTGTACACACTACTCTAGAGCTCAGATTTTCCCCGTAGCATTAATCCCCTTTTATAAGAGGGTTGGATATCAGCAGCTGACTTACTCTCCAAACTCGTATTTGGCAAGGTAGTATTTCCATTTCAAAAACACGGCACAGATCCAAAATCGGGCTCTGCTGAGGGACTTTGACAGAGCTAAAAACAACCCCCACTCCTCTGAGCGCTATGACTTAATTACTGACCATCCCTCCTCAGTATCCGAGTTTCAAAAACGGGTTATGCTTAAATATCATCATTATCTTATTGCAAGTGTTAAGGTGAGAACAGATGCTAGATGTAACCAAGCTAGGGAAGACAATGTGGGAGAATTTTAATGGTACACTGAGCCACTGTCTTTGAGCACAGTAAGAAAAAAACCTGCATAGCCATACATATAAATGAAATAAAGGTCTGAGGAAACTCTCATCCTGATATACGGCCAGGTGACTATTAAGGTATAGCTGCCGTGGAAAGCAGTTTACAAGCTATAGCATAGGAAATACAAACAAAAAGGGCTTTGTAGGAGCAGTCAAAATGAAGAGGAAAGAGAGGCCGCAGCAGCAAATGCTTTGCCCAAATATCACTAGTGGCACTCAGCTGAGCATATTGCCTGCGCTCTCCGTAGAAACTGAGCAGCTGCTCACCGCACAGGCAGCTCTGGAGGACTCAAGTGGCATGCATACTAAAGAGGAAAGTTTGTGCTTCACCTATTCATGTTTGGATGTGAGACCCACGGCAGAGCCTCCAGCCTTTCAGTAACACCCAGCAGAGGACAGAGGCGTCCCTGTGCAGCTTTCCAAGAGCGGCAGTTTTGCCAGCATGACTAAAGCAGCAGCCAAAGGCAGCAGATAAGGGATGTCAGGAGTGCAGGGGCCTGACGGAGTGCAGGACCAGGATAGATGGGCACCCGTTACAAATTTCCATGAGCATCTGTCTAATTGCATATTAGGAAAGTCTATTTTACACTTAAAAATAATGACCTTTTTACCTCTCTGTTATCTGACATGACACTGCTTCATCTGTACAGGGGAACGTTACTACTTCAAGTGTTTAGTACATATCTATGCCAGGTGGTATTTGCCATGCAGAGGCAATCTGCAATATAATAAAGGAAACCACATAGTTAATTCATTGAAGACCTCCCACAGCCTCTAGAGTATTTGTTATGTCTCAGTCGGACTGCTGCCACATCGGTGGTAACAAAGTTGGCTCTCCGTACAGGAAAATGTTCGAATATTCATCTAAAAGGGGAGTTCAGACAGGGATGCTGAAATCACTGTTTGGCAGATGGACCAGATTAAGTGATCCAAACTTCTGCAGCCGTGCGTAGCTCAGAGGAGCTGGAGCACCTCACAGGGCAAAGCTCACGGAGAGCTAATGGAACAGGCTGATTTCCATCTGATGGGGGAGTAAGCACCAACTCACACATACTATTAGCACTGTCAGGAACTAAAATGACTTTCTAGAAGGCGCAGTGTGGATCTGGGATCGTTTTCTTTTTTCAGTCTGACACTTGTGCTTTAGGGAACTGAAGTTCCTTCCCATTTATTAAAATTCATTAGGATATGCATTTCCACCAAAAAAAAAAGTATTAAATAGCATGCATATTAAGGCCTTCAGCTTTTCGAGTTCAACAGAGCCAGCAAATTTGGCACTTGGCCCACATGATTTTGTTTCTCAGTGTAATATTAATAAATGTATTTAGATTGGTTTTGCAACAAGAAATTGCAAAAAAAAGGGTAACGTTTCAGAATGCTGGGCACAGTAATGATTGAGAAATAAGTTTGCTTTCATTAATAAACCTGAAATCTGTCCAGGCTCTTAAAGGTCCAAAATTAATATTTAAGTGACATATTTTCCAGGGAATGCTTTTCAGGCTCTTTTTAGCACCTTGGCCGTCTATCTGGGGCTGTGACAAGCAAAGATATTTTTGCAAATGATGTGGCAGCTTTGTAGTTCAAAATGCGTCACTTAGATTTGGCATGGAAACAAAAGCAACATTTCAAATCCTGAACATTTTTTCACAGTTGTCACTGAGACAACTGACAGGTCAGCTCATCTCTGGAAGGTCCAGGTTTGAGGAGACCCCTCCTGCTGAGGACTTCTGTAGTGTTCAAAAGTCCTGTTGACTCTGGACTGTTCTGTGCTTAGCTGCAAACCAGTGCTTCACCAAGCAAGCATGCCAGTGTTTTGCAGAACCAGAATCTTAATTTCTTTTATTCCTTAAGACACTTTTTTTTTTTTTTAATCAAAATCTTTCAAAGAGATTAGCTATTTACCTGCTTGTTTCACTGAATGTACAGATGCTTGATATCGTAGGAGTTGCAAGACAAAAGCATGACCCCATTAGTGAGGGCACACAAATTAGTTATGCTTTATAGAGGACAACAGGAATGCAAAAGATTAGAAAACTGAAATAGTAATGGTAGTACTTAACATTTCTGAATGATCTGCTTGCATCCAGTGGTGAATGAACTGCCGTTACGCGCAAGAGCAAAGCATGCATTTCCTAGCAACTATTGATTCTTCACTATGTAGGACGTTAAAGAAATGTACTTCCTTTCAAAATAATCTTCTGGAGTGAACTGACATTTACCAGATAAGGGGGGAAAATTAGCTTTGCAATTATTGGGCAAGAAAGTGAAAAGCTCCAGTGCTTTTAATTTCCTGTGTCATTGTCCAGATGAAAGGCCCATTGCTAGGTGAGCTGCAGCAAAAGGTGGAGGAGACCGAATTGTTGAAGATGGAGCTGCAGATGTTGGAGACTGAGAGAGTTAGGCTGTCACTGGTGGAAGAAAAGCTCATGGATGTTTTACAGCTTCTTCAACAACTTCGAGACTTGGTATGGCAAGAAAGCAGTCCAGAGACTTAAAACTGTTTCTGATAGTGTCCCTTCCAAACTAAAAAGGATGTTCATGCCTTCTATTCAGTACAAAGTCCTTTACATCAGGAAACCTTTTTACATGTGTTTGCCCTGGGAACTGCCTGGTGGTTGCAGAAAACTTTTAGACCTCTATGGCTGACTTTCTAAAAGAGGCCTAGAGATCTCCTCGCTTGTAGGTCCCCAAGCTTTTATTATCCTCTAAACAAAATTTCAGAGGAAGCAAGGAAACCAAAAATGCTAGTAATCAGAAAGGTTCTATAAGATCATTCTTCCTTCTCGAAAAGTACCTATGTTTAACTGCATCCTACAGTGGCACTGAGTCAGTATTAAAGGGATAAAACTCTGTCCTATATATCAAGAAGGTATTTTTTGTGAGAAGTTTCTTACCCAATTAATAACCCAAACATGGCCTTATAAAAGCTAATGTAATAACATCCCAGAAACATGTGGCCAGTATGGCGGTTAAGTCCTTTAGAAAATAAGTTTAAATCTCCTGTTTGGGAATGATAATGGTAAGGGCTGGCCAAAAGACCGGTGAACTGGATAAGCTGCAGAACACATTGGGAGCCGCACGGGACTGCTAGAAGCTAATTTCTTTGATAATGACTGAGGGTTCTCCTCAATTTTCAGCAAAGCTCTGCCTAATCTGTGTGAGATGAGAATGCTTCCTCAGATGATCACTTTACTTTGTTTGAAGTACGCTCGTGTTCCACTGATGACTCTAGGGAACAAGTGCAATATCTCATAATTTGGTAACTTATTTTAGCACTTGACATAGAAGTTCTACTCTGACGGATGCATCAATAACAATCCAGTGAAGGATTAAAATAGTAAAGACTATGACTGGCAACAAGCATAACAACCTTTTGTGTCAAGTCTTCAACATGTCATTCACTGGTCAGTTGTATTATTGCAAATAATTTCTGCTGAGGAGACAAGCCATCACACCATGTGCCATATCTCTGTGATAATAGCACTTAATGCTAATCATTGCTGGAAACACGCCACCACGTGCTGCCAACTCCCGTAGCACCAATACAGGCAACGATGCTGTCAACGAACAAGATAATTTACAGCATTCCCAGCAGAGTTTAGCAAGGATCCCCTGAATCCCTAATGGGATATACTTCAGACAAAAGAAAGCTTATTCATCAGAAATTGTGGGTTTAGGTGTCACTTCCCCAGCATATTCACATTCAGGTTTTAAATACCCCAAGCATCTCATTTGCAACAGAATCTACTACAAAGCAATGACTGTCCAAAGGCAAATACGTGCTCTATTAGGACGGTTAAAACTTCACATTGTGTTGCAGAGGTCATGTGTAATCCCAGCCCGCTGCAAACTGCTTTCCACTATGCCCCAGTTCCCACTGGGGCAGACACGCAGAAGGTAGATGAGCAGTGTCAGTAAGCAAGGGCAGTATTGCCTGAGCTGCTGGCAGATACATCGTCCTTCTTCCAGAATAGCTTCCGTCTATTTTCACTTCTTCAAATTTTAACAAGAACAACCTGTCCCTGAAGATATGGTGCTCTAAGTGCTAATTAAACTGATTGCAAGACCATCTCCCAGAAAGCATGCATTAGTGTCTCAACAGCAAATTAAGAGGGTTTATATTTCCAGACACATTATGTAACGTCCCAACAGATTTCTAATATAAAACTACCACTGAAAAAGACCATCCAAATCCTAAGTAGTTTTTACAATCCTCTCACTTTGGCTAATGTTTATTACATCTCAATATATAAGTAACAGTGGGCCTGCCACATGACACATACAGTCTCTTCTAATTTGTTTATACCTAAAATGGTTCCCAGTGATTCCCAGAGCAGATGGGTCTGAGGCGGCACTTGCTGCGATCACACCACCAGGTCTGTCCCTGCGCCTTTCAACACAGGCCTTGCAGAGAACCGAACAAGCTTTTGTTGTGCATGCCCTGCTTGCGCTCCTAGATTTGTTTAGGCACATGCTCTGGAAAATTCTGTTATTTTCCACTGAGTAACTGCTATTTGTGTTTCTACAGCCATATTAAGGAACTGGAGCCTTCCACAAACTGCTTTTACTTGAGCAGTATCTAAGATAAAATGTTTGAAAATAAAGCCAATATCAGGTCTCGTGTTATCAGGATTCAGTTTCATTTTGTTTTTATCTTCAAACACACTGCACATAGATTTTTTTGCATACATTTAAATTGGTGAAGGAAATATTTGTGCCATAATATTATTTTGTTTTTTAAAGAACATATCTAAGCGAGCCTTGGGGAAAATCTTGCTGAGCACTTTGGAATCCTGCCGTGACCCCCAACCTGGTAAGAAAATAAATCACGTGTAAAGACCAAGAAACATGCAAAGTGTCCTTTTGGGAAAAACACTAGATAATGAACGGATGAGGAGGAAAAAGATATTTCAAATACTGGGGGACAGGCTAGGGAGAAAGAAGTACTGTGCAAGAAGATTACCCATAGAAAGTGATGCATTCTAGTCTGTGACACATCAGAAACAGGAACACATCCAGGGCTTTTTTTAGCCAAATTTTAATTAGAATTTGGCCTTAGGGGGACAATTCAGTATCCCACTAATGTCTGTAGGGCTTCATTGATATGAGAAAGTGGAAAACATGACCAAGTATGTAAGGCACCTATTTATCAGGTTTGCTATTCCACTGCGTGTTGTATTCCTCTGCTGCAGCACAAACAAATACACAAAACAGAGTATTTCTGTAAAGAAACTGGATCAAACCTGCGCTCTAATAATAGCCTTTCATGTTCCTCTTATGAAAATTAAACTTGCAAACTTGTCTCCCTTGACAATGGTCTGGTGCACCAGAGCTGCCTTTGTAGGAACCATACAGGGATCACAGCCCGGAGGTTTAGATTTGATTACTTTGTTCCTATTAGCAGAGCATTTGTACTTACCTTCAAGAAATGAACATCCTGTACATCCTAAGAACAGGGCTTCGAGGTGCAGACAGTAGTCAAAGACAAGATTATAAAAGACTAGATGTGGCCTGAGGGTTTAGTTTTGGAGAATATTAATAACAGTGATTTATGGGGAATAACATACATTCTGGGTTCTGCAGTTTCGAAGCCTTGTTGTAACTAGCGTCCAGCAATCCAGGGCGCAGACAGCCCAGAGCTAAGCTGTGCCATTCCAGCATGGCTGCAGAGGAAGCAGAGAAAAGAAGGCAAAGACAGACCTTCGTTGGCTCCGGAACACCAACACAGAGAGAAACCATATCTAAGCCATAGGTCAGATAGTCCCCTGGTGAGCACAAGAGAAGAGGAGACTGTTGGTATCAACAGCACACAAGTGTCCAGAAGGTACTACTAATTATCCTGGAACACTGACTCCAAGTGATGCTGCCGAGACAAAGTACCTCCCTCTCTAATGGCAGCACAGCTCAGCTTCCTAAAATGACACCAAGTGAAGTAACCTTGGGAAGCTCTCAGTCCATTCTGCATCACCATTGGCAAAAACAGGTCATCTTCTCTGCTTTCGAGTTTCTGGCTGTGCACTTGATATGACTTAAGCAGCTTTCCTAAGTCTTTGTAATCAAACATCTTCTTCCTCTTTGACAAGACTAAGTGGATGGTTGGATTGGGAACTCTTTATTATGACACGAAATAGTCTTCATTCACACAAGTATATGAGAACTCAGTGGGCAATGAATGAAGCAAGAGACCCAGTAGAGAACAGTCCTTGAACCCAGTACCACTCTCATTTTTATAGGGACAGAAATTCATTATTTGGTCTCAAACTTCAGGTAATAATACCTTGAAATGGCACCTAGGAAGAAAAGAGCTCATGTTACAATTGTTAAACTGCAACTTCCTCTCTTTGTTCAAATTCTAATGTTTGCAATTTTCTTTTAAAAGGAAAAGCCCACCTATTTGAAGTCCTAGATACGCTTTACCATGAGCTGACAGCCTGTGAACTCTTACAAAGCCAGCCTCTGGAGAAGGCGCAGAGTCGCCAGTCCTTGTCCAACCCACTGGTCATCTCCTGCTGAGCAGCAGAGCCAACTACAACCCCCACAACCAGCCATACAGCCCTTGTTCATTCAAACACACGAGGAATGAATAAGATCTGTCCAATTCAACGGAGCTCAGTAACGGAGAAGAGCGATACAATAATTCAGCCATGAAATCAAAGGTATGCTGCTTCTGGTTAGAGTGCCACTTCCTCAGCTCACATCAAGACCTTCCCTTACGTGAACGAGCATTCACATGACATGAGGATAACGTAGCAACGTCTGTCGCTGATGGAAGCCTAACCATCTTTGTATGATGGCCCTGTAACTGTACCGGTTAACCAAATAAAAACTATTCCGAATACACTGACGTGATCTATTTAGATTTACAGCCCTGGTTACACACTGGCTGGGCAGAGTTTCTAGCTTTTGCAGTAGCTCCATTCAAAAGGCAAAAGGCAGTCTATGTTCTCACTGGCAAGTAAACCGCTTCCTTAACATACAGGTGCCAAAATGACTGTATTATAAACACACACGAGTGTATGCCTGTAGTGCAAGTTTTACGGGCTCATGTATAAAATGTATTTGTGTGTGTCTGTGATTCAATTATTCACCTTATTTAACTCTGAAGTTAGATTTGTTATTGCTCTGCTGAATTTTATGTTTGCAATTATAGAGATGCCTTAGAAATCTGCAACAGCCTCTCGTGACGATAATCTTAGATTTTACATTAAAAGTTACATTTAACTGCTTGCAAAAGGTACAAAGCAATCTGGTTCCCAGGCTCTCTGGGAAAGGAATGGCTGAAACATTCACTTTGCAACAGCTGCCGTTGTCGCGTTAGCAAACAACACGTGCAGTACACGACTTTGTTCTCTCATTTAATTTCCTTCAATGCAACTGTAGAGAGACAAAACCAGGCCCCACTTGCAGACAAATGAATGTAAAATGCTGGGCCTAATCACGGTGCCATGTAATATTTTAATCAGCAATAAAAGAATTCCTGGGGGCAAAAGTAAAAAAATAGGTTGCTTCCAAGATGCTTTTGCTGTTTCATTCAAGTATCAAACACAGAAAGTAAAGAAGTGGAGTTCTTAAATGATCCAACTGAACTTATGTTATTTAAAAATGCACTGTAGATCTTTTAAGAATGTTAAATTATTTCTCTGAGATAATGCCAGCAATGAAATAAGACCATTCAATTCAGAACCGTGCATGTATGAATCTCTCACATGAAAACAGTTTTCATGCAGGAATAAGGTCCGTACCACAATGCAATCTCGGGAATAAGAAGATTTCTGTTCCTTTCTATTCATAATACACTGTATAGCTTATACATACCTCCATCCAAAATTGTGATACGTTACTTAGAATTTAGGCTCATGTTGGTAACAAAAATTTGCAATAGATATTTTCATTTCATCTTAGAGGAGGAAAAAAAGTATTTTACAAACAATGGAACAAAGTCTGTTCAGTGGTGTTTTACCTGTTGTGGTTTTTTTTCTGGTTTAACAGAGGAAGATTTTAAGAATAGATATATCTTTTTAATGTAGATTTTTCATACAGGTAAATTAGATGGCACATATATACATAGTGCAATATTCACCCTGTAAGAATGAAAACTGTATACTAATACTCAATGCAATACTAACGTAATCTAAGCATAATATACTATTATTTACTAGACACTAAACTATATGCTAATACTAGGTACTACAAAACTATACACAAAATGAGCAGAAATTAGTTCCCCGCTTGGGTTCATTTTCTAAAAAACCAAGAACAAGTATCAGCTTATGTTTAGTGCAGCTCTCAGACTTACCCAGGAATGCTTGTAGATGTATAAAGAGCAGATGCCAGCAAACCATTAAATAAGCATGATCTGTGTATATAGTTAGCGGAAGAGACACTTCAGGAACAGGATTATAATGCAAGTACATACCTGATTATGGACACCCTCATGCACTCCAGGATTCTTCCATTTAAAGTAATATTACTTACTGTATCCATTCTCTTTATATACACATATATATGTGCATTTGTATTACATATACTTATGTATACCTGAAGATTGATTTGCTAATTGTATACTTTTAGTATTTTTTTCACCACTAAGTTTCTACTTCACTTTCTAATATATTTCTCAAAATCTAGACTATTAAGTAAACTGATGTCCTAATGCCAAAATGAGGGAGGAGCAATATAATCTGAGTATTGCAGAGCTTATCCAAGCAGCAGTTGAACTGTAATTAGAAACTAGAAAATGTCACTAGAAACCCCAACTGGTGTTAATGAAGATGCAAACAGCTGACATTAAAGGGAGCTTTTGTGAATAAATAAACAGCACTTAACTGATATAAGAAGCAGCAAAATCGTATCTTGCTAAATTAGCTTCAAACGCTGTAATTTTTTTTCGTTAAGAAATGTCTATATCAGAATCACTTTTGATACATCAGCATATGCTGATTTAATCTTTTAATAACAAAAGCTGATTATTTTAACTCCAAAAAGCAATTAATATGGAGCAAGTCAGACTTGCAGTATTTCCAGAAGAAGAATCTGTTCTTCAGCAGGGATCAAGAAACAGTCCTCAGTCACATTCTTGCTGGAAATCAGAAGGAAAGCAAAGCACTGTACTTTGAGAATCTTTCTTTGGTGACCTAAAAAATGATTTTTTTCTTAAATTTTCACCTTAATGTTTTATACTGAGCCTGTCAGCAGTGTTGCTGAGGCTGATAAATATTCTATATAAACTTGTATAAGTCGTGATTTTAAATAAATGTAATTGAGAAATGTCTAGCTCTTCCTCAAAAGCAAGGAGGCTTCCACAGTTTGATTTACTATGTGGAACCCATTCAAAAGAGTCTGCACTGCAATCCTGGGGAGCAAACCCAAATCTCTACATTTGTTTAGACACCTAGCTCCTTAAGGCAAGTGAGCACTGCAGATTTCAGCTACCTTTTTTCTACAGGGAACATATACCAAGTTTAAACTGACTTTGTAAAAAATATTCCCGTGTGACAAAAACTGAAAAGATAACAAAACACAGTCAAAAGCCTTCCATTTAAAATGCACAACCCCAAACCTACTCTCTCAAATATCTGCCAACACTTTATTTTGTTGTATGTTTACCAAATGGTACTAAGTGGCCATTTGCTTGAATGCTGACTTCTCAGTAAAGAAAAAAATCACGGAGAGAGTGCATGCGCTATGAACGTAAGTGCGATTCCCCATCTCAGGTTTTGCATAAGCAGACAAAGGCCGACAGAGCGTGCCTTCCCAACGTTTCTTTGTTCAGGAGGAAAACCGGTTTGGAGGAGGACACGTGACGTATTACAAGGTGAGAGCAGAGCCCCGCTGTACAGTTTCCACCTGGTAAGGGTTACGTAGGTCTTCTCTGTAGAAGGGACTGTACTACCTTGATTTTCAGTTAGAAAGCCAATGGGCATCTATAAAAGGGCTGAAGCGACCTAATTATGCTGGCTTTGAGGCACCCTGGTTGAACTCTGGCCTTATACCATGCTTGAGATTTTATCCCCTCCCCAGCATGCTCATTCCTTAATGTAGTAGATTTTTTTTTTTTTCCCTCAAGAATAACTCCGTTCTTACAGAAAGAAGAGTTTGTTTCCCCCAGCTGTATCTGCTGGGGACCTCCTAATATAATTCACCCCAGCAAAAAAGTTATTCTTCATCACCTCTTCTATATGTCCTTTCTTCCTTTATTGCTAATTGCAGAGCAAAAAATCCCTCAGGCTCCCAAATTTTGTACTTTAAGACTGGTGTCCAGTCTTTCCTCGAATGAGCTGCCTGGAGTGTTCTCAGCACTCCCAACCCTCATCCTGCAAGTCTCAAGGAATGTGCCCTCTCTCCTGCTCATGTCCCCAAAACCTGGCGGTCTAGTTCTCACACTTTGCTCATATAATGTGTTTGCGTTTCCTTAGCCTTAGCAGTTCAACGTTAGATCTCCACAAATTGTGATCAAGCTCGCTTTCTTAGTAGTCACCATCTTAATTTATTAATTTTCTATTAAAAGTGCACATTGGCCCTAACAAGGAAGCTGGAACATTCCCTCCACTGATCTTCACTGTGTTTCCACTGAACAAGCTCTCCAATTTGACTTCATTCTCCAACTACTTTCTCCTCCCAATGCCCTCCTCACTTACCATTTGGCATATTTCTCTCTGAGATAACCCGAGGGCCTGCACACTTCTAGCACAAGTTACAATTTTCAAGAAGTTTCATCCTCCTGTACTTTTGTACTTTATATGAGGTATTAACTATTAGTAAATTAAAGTCCACCTGATGAATAAAGTTATCCAATAATCGTCCAACGCTCTCTCTGAGGTATCTGGCAGTGACCACTCGTCACAGATGTTACACTGATTCACAAAACTTTTGCTCCAAAACAGTGTGGCTGTCTCCAGCCAGAGCTACTCCAAGAGGTTGACGGCATTTGTACACACTTTATGGAAGAAAACAATCCTTGGCACTGGTATGTTTAAATTTGCTGAATTTGTTAGAATTAAATCTCCTCCCTTTCATGATACTATCCATTAATCTACTACATGGTACATTTCAATGGTGAAGGCTGTTTAGATATCACTCTTTGTTTCCCTCTTACTGTTAAGCAAAAGGGTACACTTTCAAACAGCGTGTGTAAAATAGAATTGCTTGGTATGACCAAATAACAATAAACATTCACAGCATGCGTGTGACACATCGCATTACCAGCCAAAGGGTTTCTCTTAGATTTATGATTTCATGGAGGTTAAGACATTGAATCCTTTAATATTTACATTATCTTATTTGCTTAATAATTTTACGTATAATTCCACATAATACAAAAGCTATAGAATGTGTTTCTTAGTGTGAAATTCAAATGAAAATCATCCTTATTTCCTGAATTACGCTTTACTTTCAAGAGGCCAGGATTTTCAGAGTTCCATTTATTTTCTGTTCTACTTTTCTGGCTCTTCCATAATACACCAGCAGAAACACCCTTACCCATTTCCCACGGTACTGTCTGGTACAGCAGTTTG